CAGGCAACAGTGGGTAGCCATAGCATTGTTAAGGATATTGCTCATTCATGCAACCCAAAACGGGACCCCACACAAAGCGCCAATCGCTTCACGTACCGACACTTCTGACCTGCATTCTAGAGGCAACTACTTCAAATCTCGGCCGGCACACCGATTATTCTGATGTATTTCGTGCTTTTCCACAGTCCCCCCCCCCCAAGGAAATCGTCGAAATGGTACGTTAAATTAGACCGTGCCCGCTTACCCCCAAACCCATTTCTAAGTCACTACTAACATCGGATCAGTCGACGATATTAAACTTCAAATTACTGACAACGTCGTTACATAAATTACACAACCTGACATTAGGCTGAACCCAGTTCGATACTCAGACATTCCTTCAGGGCATCGGCCGTGTTTTACTCAGTCCTTCCAGGCACTTGACGCCGTAGTACTTCAACCAGGCAACGAGCGCTTCCATTAATCATATTACCATCGACGTTGTGAACAGCATCGTTAAGACGTACAGGGGAGTGAAGGTATAGCTCCACAATTTCTTTTTTACCTCCGCGAAAGATGGTCAGTGGTCAGCTTTACGTCCCGGCCGTTTCACCACCGGGAGGGGTGGGAGTGAAGGGAAACAAAATCAAACATTCCGGGGTTTTCTTTTTCATTCAGTGTTAGTTCCCCGTAACATCAGTTAACTTCATCTGTTAATGGTCCCATATGCTGCAAGGAAAACGAGAACTGTGAAGGTGGTGGCAACATGCTCTGCAGAAACGTCTGTTGACTTTCAATGGACCCAGAAGACGGAAGTCCCTAGACTTCTGCGAAGCTGCGGTGTCACTGGCGCTCACCTCTCCGGGCCACTTCTTCTGGGATGTGACGCCGTAGATGCTGACCAATGTTTTCCAGGAAGATGACGTCTCTATCTTCACGGAAAGACGAGAGCTTTCTACCTTTAAAATGGAGGCTTTACTTTCCTCCTAAATGTCGCAGAGAACGCATTGCATCTCATTAAAATATCAAAAGGCAACGATCCTTCTTCTGAAAACCATATGAACCACACAAATACACTCTATGGACATGATGCAGATTTATTTAGTGTTGAAGCAAGTAGTATATTTAGTAACCAATCTGCTTTACCGGGTTAAATACGTAACTTCAATCATAATTTTTAAAATCAAACGAATGTCTCAAATTTCTTCAGTCTGTCATTTTCGAAAATACGGTTAAACACTGAGCTCTCATATATATTCGTAACGTTTCCAGTGCCTGCCCTGAAGAGGGAGTGTGCATAGTCCTCCGAAATTTCGGTTTCGACCTGACAAAATCAAATGGTCGCAATAAAATTTCTGATCCTCTACCTGCGTTCATATCACTAAACTTTTCAGACAGCTGGTAGTGTATGTGTGTGTCTGCGCGTGCTCGTGCGTGTGTGACCGAGAGAGAGAGAGGATTGAGGAAGTGGCCCGGATAGGGAACTGGGCCACGTGTGGCCCATGTGTAGAAAGCCAAGAGGCTGTGTAACAAGCCGCTACTGGCTTCGGGCGGTAGTTGCACCTCCTCAATGAACCCGACTCTCACGGCGTTTTCTTGTGGCTTTCAATTGTCCTGCTGAAAGAGAACTGCGTCCTTACATATTCTCCGCCTATTATTATCCACCCACAGAGTATCCTCACAACCCATGTCTCTAATATCCATCTTACTAATTAACTGAACTTCTGGTAGCAGAGGGCACGGCGGCAGTGTAGTTAGTTGAGGCACTATGCTACAAGCCGGAAGGTAGCGGATTCGATTCTTGATGGTCACTGGATTTTTCAATTGACCTAATCCTTCCAGCCGCACTATGCCCCTGGGGTAATGTGCGGCCGGCGCGTAGGGCTCACAGTCTAACAGCCATCTGTCAGCCGACTATCTAGAAAATGTGGAAGCCTCGACGTCTTACAACCCTATTGACCTTCAAGATCTGTTACTGAGGGATAGCCGTGCCATAAGTCAGGGAGTTAGTTGCTGGCTTCCCACAGCGGCGGGTCGGGTTCGAACACGGAACAGACCATGTGAGATTTGTGGTGGACAAAGTGGCATTGGGGCAGGTTTTCTCTGGGTACTTCGGTTTCCCTTGACAATCTTCCTTCCACCAATTGCTCCACAATCACTATCATCTATCATCTGGGGCTGCTACAATAGACAAGTAGTGGCCGCAGTACCAAGTGGACTCGGTCTCACCCCACTAATTATAATACTTAATTATGGAGCTGAGCCCTTCTTGAGATGCCAAATCTGCAGCCACTCAAGAATTCTCCAGCATTTTATGGAACCCAAACGTTCATCACCTTGCTCACAAGAGCCCTCCACCGGTCCCTATCCTGAGCCAGATATATCCAATCCATACCATCCCATCCTATCTCTCTAAGATCCATTCTAATATTGTCCACCCACCTACGCCTTGGTCTCCCCAGTGGTCGTTTTCTTTCTAGCTTTCCCACCAATATCCTATATGCATTCCTCGATTCCACATTAGTGCTACATACCCTGCCCACCTCACCCTCCTTGACTTGATCATTCTAATTATACTTGGAGAAGAGTACAAGTTATGAGGCTCCTCATTATGCAGTTTTCTCCAGCCTCTGTCACTTCATCTCTCTTCGGTCCAAATATTCTCCTCAACACCCTGTTCTCAAACACCCTCAGTCTATGTTCCTCCCTTAATGTCAGAGACCAAGTTTCACACTCATACAGAACCACAGACAAAATTATAGTTTTGTATATTCTAATCTTTATGTTTTTCGACAACAGACGAGAAGACAAAAGGTTCTGGACTGAATGGTAGCAAGCATTACCCGAGTTCAATCGCTTCTTAATTTCCTCCTGAATCAGGTTTCAATCTGTCATCGTTGTTCCCAAATATCTGAACTGTGCCACATTTTCAAAACATCTGTTTCCTGTCTTTATGTCATGATTTTGCCCTGCATTTTGGTGACGAGACAGTAACATATACTTAGTTTTCTCTGTGTTTACTTCTAGACCAACCTCTTTACTTGCATCAATTAAAGTTTGTGTGTTTCTCTTTATGGTATCTACATTATCACCCAGTAGATTCACATCAGCGGCGTAGACCAACAGCTGATGTGTCCCGTTTAATTTCAGTCCCACCTGTTTTCCCTGGACCTTCCTAATGGCATATTCTACGGCAAAGTTAAAAATGAGTGGCGATAAAGCATCTCCTTGTCTTAGATCATTCTGGATAGGAAATTTATCAGACAAATGTTTACCTATATACACTTTACTATAAGTTTCGTTTAAACACCTTTTAATCAGTTTAACAAGTTTCATGGGTATCCCAAACTCTATCAGAATATTGTACAATACTTCCCTCCTAACTGAATCATGGGCTTTCTTGAAGTCTATGAATAGCTAATTTACTGTCTCGTCGTACTCCCATTTTTTCTCAAATATCTGACGAATGCAAAAAGATCTGATCAGTAGCTGATCTGTTATGTCGAAACCCACACTGATGATCCTAAGTAATTTCATCTATATATGGATTTAACCTTGAGAGAAGAATGTTGGATAAAATTTTGTATGAAGTTGATAGCAGTGATATTCCACGTTAACTACTACAGTTTTATCGCCCTTCTTGTGAACTGGTAAAATAACAGACCCCGTCCACTGATCTGGCAGCTTTTCCTTATTCCAAGTAGAATTAATTAGCTTATGGATGTTAGGACGTAATATCTGACCTCCTGCTTCAATAAGTTCTGCCGGAATTTGATCACTACCTGGTGATTTATACCGTTTCAATTTTGCAAAAGCGCTCTCAACCTCAAAAGGGCTAGGATGAGGTATTAACGGCTCAGCTGTATGGATTTGCCTGCCTAACATCATTGACCCTACGTACATTCAATAACTGAGAGTAGTAGTTCTTCCACCTATTCAAAATGTAGTGGGAATCTGCAAGCAGATCACCATTCTCGTCCTCAGTTTCTTCAAAGTTGGTAAGCTCTCTTGAAGTCATTTACTCATCTATCTCGGTCTCTATTTTTCTTGTTCTTACTGTTCGTTGAATGCTCATTAATTTTGTCTTTCAGATATTCCATCATTTTATTCCTGAAATGCCTGCTGGTTTCGCGTCTTATATTTTTCAGATTATCCCTTTGTATTTCGCTTGGATCCTGTAACCATTGCAATTTGGCTTGTTTTCTTTGGTCTAGTAATTCTGCGCATCTTTCATCTAACAACTGCTTATGCTTCTTCAGTTCATAATAACCTAGACTCTCCTTGGTAGGAATTTTGATAAGTTTCCCAAGCTTCACTAACATCCACCTCAGTGTCCAAGTTTTCCCAAGGCCGCGAACCTATCTGAGATTTCAACACAATACTGCTCTTTACCCTCTACCTCATTTAATTTCTTGAGATTGAACCTCTCCATATGAACGCTTTGCGTTGTTTGTTTGCTCACTGTCAGTCTTTCCCTAAACTTCGCCACCACCAGGTAGTGGTCAGTATCACAATCTGCTGCCCTGAATGATCGGACATCAAGTATACTTGAATGCTGTCTCCTATTTATCTAAATATGGTCGATCTGATTGTGTATCTTCCCGTCAGATGTCCAAGTAAATTTATGGATGTTACGATGCGGGATCATTGTACTTTTGACAGTAAGATTTTTTGATGTGGCAATGTTTACTACTCTAACTCCATTATCATTACTAATTTCATGCAAACTCTCATTCCAAATCGTTGGTTTGAACCCTCCCTACTTTGGCATTGAAATCTCCTAGAAAAATTTTCATAGGGTACTTCTGGAATTTGTCAAATACATGTGTTACCGTTGCCCGATTTCAATTGAAACTTCAATTTATCATCGTAATTTAGTAACACACAGCACTGCCACATTTCATGAGAACGCGTTCAGCGGTTCTCCAGTCAGTACGCAGGGACACGGCGTTGTGCAGTGCTCTGGTATGATCGTGCGTAACAACAGTCAGGTCATATTGAACATCTGTGTGCATACTTACCCGTGTGTATTCGCTGGTGGGCCTTTAGATGAGAGCTCTTCGTGTACACCTTCGTACAACCTGCAATCAAAGGACATGAATGTCAAACAATGCAGTAACGAAATGGAACAGTTCTAAAATTATTTTTTAGGAAAATTTAAATAAGACTTACTTTGGGGGGGGGGGCCATAGCTCAAGCGGTTAGTCGCTGGCTTCCCATCGCGGCGGCCCGGGTTCGATCCCGGCTGTGGTCAAATGGAATTTGCGGTGGACAAAGTAGCAGGTTTTCTCCGAGTACTCCGGTTTCCCCTGCCGATCTTCATTCCATAATGCTCTACAATTACCCTCACCTATCAACCGGGGCTGGTACAATAGGCCAGAAGGGGCAGCAGTACAAGGGATTTAGTCCCACCCCCGTAGCAAAAAAAAATCCTTTTTTTTTTTCAAAATAAGGAAGGTAAGCTAACAAGTTCTTGGGAGAACTAATAGCCTATTTTCCTTACCAACGACATGAACCTCATATAAAACGACGCCTCCAACAACTCCTCGCTCGCGCTGGAACATTTTTACCGGGCTGTTACCTAGCAACGATAGGGCGATACACAGACAGACCAACAGACACACGCGTAAACCAATTCTTATATTGTTGTGAGTGCATTCGATGCCGCGGGAACGTGTTTACCAAGTCGCTGTTAAACAGTGAAGGGAGGGAAATACATTTAGCGAACCGTTGAATAGCAACGATAGAGGGACACACAGGCTGATGGGAGGTATTTATGAAGTACGCAGTTATATGCGTACCATGTATAAATTTTCGTTCAGGGATTTAGAAATTAATGAGGGGGGGTTCACAGACATCATTGGGATCGCATAAGCCTGCTTCCATTTCTTCAAAATAAGGAACGTACGCTAAAAATGAACTACAGAGAAAACTGGATCAAGCGGCAACAATTCTGATTTGTGTTAACAGACTCCCGTTCGAGTCTCGGACACTTACACTGTTCCTTCGGTAAGATGCCGAGGTAGCACATGACTGAGGCCACCGAAACTTCCTTGCACACTACTTCCAATTTATGAATCATTAATACCCGATCATTGAAATGTCTCAATCAGAGCAGCATTAAATAAACTATAAGTATACATGAATACATGTAACAACTAGCCGTTGAAATTTCAGCGGGCTTTATCCACCCACCCATCCATGTATGGTTTTACAATCCTCTTGTTGGACCCTGGCCGCTTTCAGTTTCTTAATCCTACATACAGTCGGTAGGACTCCTTGGACGGGGAATCAGCCTATCGTAAGACCGCGAGTTACACACAAAACAACACAAAAGCAGAATAAAGGTACACACAAATCCATGCCACGAATGGGATTCGAACCCACAACCCCAGTGCTCGAGCGGGCGAAGGTAGTTCACGCCTTAGACTGCGCGGCCGCTGTGATCGGCCTTTAAATATATACATTTTCTTAATTCCTTCCAAATCACGTCAACTGAGTCCAAGGTTCTTTTTTTTTCACAAGCATTTTTGATACGTCTTAGCGAGACATTCGTTTAAATGGAGCTGTTTCCACACAGCCACACGACTGATCTGTGGGTCTACTAAAGCCTAAGTAACATTTTCAGTTGATGCAACGTAACGTTAAACTACGAATGAACATACAGGATGAGAACTCGGTTCGTCGTAATCTTACATCGTTAGCTCGTTAAATTTAAACAAATTGTGAAATGGATATTTTTTAGCTAATGTAAACGAACCGCCAAGATTCACTTCAACTGTTCTTAAGTTACTGAGTAATGGACCAGTGGCGCCATCACCTCCATATATGGCAGTCAGGTTGTTGTATTAGCGTGTTTCTGGTTTTATTTACTTGCTAGATTAACTGTAAATAAACAGTGGACAGAACAAAAACCAGTGAACACTCACCGGCCTTGGAGAAGTGTCCATACTGCGCTACAGCTGTTGCTGTGGCCGCTAACACTTTTCATTCATACGTTCTGACGACGGCCATGCAGCACGCAGGGGTCTCATGAACGAAGAATACGCGTCTGGTACCTAGAGATTATATATAAATGGGTCTGGAAATTATGTTCGTGCATTTCTGTTGTGAGTTAAACGGGTCAGAGAATTTTTTATCCATATTCAAAAAAATATCTTGACGTTTCTAATATTTTACGGCAGTCTTTCAACTGTAGCAGTTATGTAGCCTTAAACTAAAGAGAGGTAACATTTTAGACACTGGTCCTACTCCCGTCATCACCTGAAGAAATGAAACATATTCCGTTGGGCCAATTAGATCCATTCTAGGACCGGGGATAAGAAAATGTACAGCAAACATACTATCATATGTAGGGGTGACTAACGACGGGGGTTTGGACTGGATATTGGCTTCATTGACCACTTACACAGACACGTAAGTACAAATAATTACAGCGTCACCGCCTGTCTCCGCAAATCACCAATCACCACACCGCCCGCTAAGCATTTTCCCAGCCGTTCCCTATCAAAGGCTTCTAACAGTGGGGATAATTCAGCTCCACGCGCTCAAGTCCCCTCTTCATAGACTTCCAAACAGAACTGACTAAGCTATAACCACATATAAAACACAGCTCTTGTATTATTGTCTACATTATTTGCCGCAAAGATGCGCTTACCGCGCCACTGCATACCAACGACCGAGGCGCAAATCACAGAAAACACCGTTCCTCTGTTGCTGTACTATTATTGCGTTCATGTCTTTTGCTATGGGATCGTGTTTACCGAACCGTTGCCCATCTCGCAGTCGTTGCTTAGCAGCGACTCTGTACGCTACAATATGAACGGGGTGACTATGATTTCCTCGGGGAAGGGGATTAGCCAAGAAATCTGATCAAATATTTAACATTTAAGTAGTGTGAGATCTGTAAGAATACTGAGGATAGAATGTTCAGCAGGGAATAATTTTGATAATTTCATTTTTCTTCGAGACGCCTCAGTCAGGGGAGCCGGTCTCCGGGACGCCAACGAAGCCTGGGCCTCTGGCAAACTAAGCACTCCACTGCGACACGTGGCCAGGTTTTATGTAGGTCTATATAGCGGTGATAAACCTCAGAACTGTACTAACTTGCGCACTGTCAAGTGCTGCTACTCTAAATGAGACCTTGTCCCACACTTGCGATATTCATTAGGATGGGGCATTAACATATATAAAGAAACTATCCATAACGTAAACCAAAGGTAAAGCTGTCCCTGTTCGTAATTAAGCACCACGCCTTAACACACATGGAGAAGTGGAGGAACAGCTCCACCATTCTTGACATCGCCTGTGGATGGGTGCAGTCAGCTTCACGCCCCGGCCTCCTTAAAGCCGGGGAAAGAGCTCCCATTAGCCATAGAATATGAGGCTTGGTGGGCCTCAGAAATCGGTCTGGACGCTGTGAAGAATAGAAAAATCACTTATCCTTGCCAGGAATCGAAGTCTGGTCGTCAAGCCTGTAGCCTGTCACTACACCGCCTCAAACAGAAGTACCCCTATTTTGAAATAACGTCATTTGTCTTATAAACACAAAATTATCGTGGGCGAAATGATGTTACAAATATAAATTTAAGAAGGTTTATGCTAATGCATGTTTTACAAGTCTCGCGGCACACAGGTTGACCCCCCTCCACCATAGAAGTGTAAGAAAGAATTCACATGTTGTAATTAGAGTTGGAGTGAGCCGGACACGACAGAATACCACTGCTCCTGGCGGGAATATAACCTCGGTCTTCCAGCCCGTAATTAGTGGCTATCTTCACCGTCATTCCTGACAGGAACATTGTAGCTGAGTGCATCCATGCTTTCTAGTCGAGAGGCCCTGTGTTCAAATCTCAGCCGGCAAAGAAGCTTTCCTGGCCGCTTCTTCATAGTTTTCCTCAGTATCTCCAGGTAAACAACGGGACAATACCTCCAATTAGGCCCCGATCCGTCCCTCCCGCATCCTTGGCACTTCATTATTCACTAATCACCCTGAGATCGGTATAGCTCAGTTGGCATAGTGACTAGATGGATTAGATTTCGGCAGTGTAAGAGATTTTCCCTTGCTCACAGAGCCCAGACTCGCTCTGAGAACCATCCGGTCTCCTGTTCAGCGGGCACCGAAGTCCCTTTCCCCGGTTAGGGTTAGGAAGCTGAACACTCACCACTATCTATATCTAAGGTTGAGAATGCGTGAAGCTACACCTACACCCTCCATACGTCTTCATGATGTGCAGCATAATTAAGCTCAGGGGTAAATTTGCCTTACCTGAACATCCTATCATTCGACAATAAACAGCAAATGAATGAATAAAACAGTACAAAATGGCTATTCTTCTAAAAAAAAATAAAAGAGGCTGAAACAGCTATCGTTAAATTCCTTTGACGCATACCAAATGTAGGCTACTTAGTGCTCAATGGACAGCAGCAGATCACGTGCTCGAAAATGGGGACTGTGTTTTGGGCAGGAGAGTAGCTAATTCCTGGCACGTACAGCGGATGTGGGAGAGTGTGTACAATTTATTTTTTTTTCATTTACACAGCAATGTGGGAACACAATTACGCTTAGAGACTTTGACCCCACGTCAGGGCTGTCCAATAGTTATATTTATGGACCATGTCAACAGTTCAGACCACATTGTGCCAATGATCAGCGAATAAAAAGTGAATTAGCGGCACTGCGGCAGAATTTTCCTGGGAAGATTAAAACTATGAAACACCTCGCGCAGAACAGGTCTTTGGGCCGGGATCTGAACTCGTGATTCACAGAACAGGAATGGCGTTGAACGAGAACCCAAACTAAGCGACCACAGGGGCCGCGCCCTAGCTCAAGCGGTTAGTCGCTGGCTTCCCATCGCGGCGGCACTGGTTATCAAGTTGGCTGTCCACTGGGGGAAACGAAAAGACAATGCTAGACGCAGCTCGCCAACACACTATAACTCCATTAAACGGTACAGCTATCCTTGGTATAGGCCATCGAGACCCCCACATTTTCTAGACAATCGGCTCACAGATGGCGTGAAGTTGTCAGTCTTACGCGCCGGCCGGCCGCCCTTCATCCTCACGAAAATTGCTGGAACTT